CATACTCTAAGGACGTCTTAGTGCATTGTTATAGCTAAGAAGAGAGGTCATGAATTGTTGCATTGGTTAAAATCAAGAAGATGAGTCATACTTCGTTCCAAAACAATTCTTAGAGTCATACTCCAAGATTGTAACATTGAGTGACATAAAGTAAGGTTTAAAACACTTATCAAATGTAGTGTAAAATTTTTCTACCCCTTGTACATTTGAGATTGGTAAGTTGTGATGTCTTGCATGAGACAAAAGACCAACTAAAACCAATTGTGTGAAGTGTTAGTCTTGATAAGAATCCGCACTATCCCTTGAATATTTTTTTTTGTCAAGGAATGGTTCTTGACTGGGGAAACTTATATGTCAAGGGGACAGTGGGAGCCTTAAAGATCCTGAAAGAGTTTCAAGATTTAATCAAGAGTAAAACCTGTAATTTATCACTAGCACACGACTTAAGGTTTGCAACCTATCGTGTTGACATAATTCTTATTTCTGTACCTACTTCAAATAAGTTGAATTTGCATGTGAATTATCAGAGTTCAACTTGGAAGCATTGGTGGGCCTTATGCTACCAAGGTGACAAGAAACTAAGATTGAACAACTTTAATCCATGTAAGGCTGAATTTGTCACTTACCTTATCTTGTGATTATGGTTTTGACATATTCACATGGATAGGAACTCATACACTATAAAATCTAAGTGTCATAAGGTTTCTCTCCGGTTCATGAAAATGATGGTGAGGAAACACTTTCACTAAGTAGATTTTACGTAGATATCAATTGTGTTATTTGCATTTTCAAAAGTCGTTAGTGGAGCGTGTGTGGTTAACCGGCACACTAACATGGACTTGTGAGAAATGGCAAATGCCTAAGCAATTGAGACTATGATTACGGCATCCCTTTTCATAGTTCTTGAAATTGCTTAGAAACACAGGTGAGCTATCTACGGAAAGGTGTATGAATCTAAATTTCAGAACTCCAGCAGATTTCTGGAAATATGTCAGAGCTAGTGGGAGCATAAGTGTTATGTTGATAATCATCATGTTAGTGAGAGCATGATTATTAAGATTAGTATTGCAAGCTAGCAATGTTAATTACAGAAAACAAAGTTTCAATTCGTGAAGTTGCAGGGGTTGAAAAGTTGTTTTGCTATAATTAAGGGAGAGAAAATTATACTTCATTTCAATTCTAGAAGCTTAGATTGAAATTTTAATCATCTTTAGTCAAGAATATATATGAATTTTGTGTTGGAATGGTTCAACTTGAAGAAATTTTATATATATTGCGTTTTCAAAATTTGATTATGATTACGGCATCCCTCTTCATAGTTAAATTTTAAAAAACATGGCAAATAAAAAAATATATTGTAGCAAAAGAGTGGTCTAGTATCATGTCTTTATGTCAAACATCATGAATCGTGTCCCATATGCTTCGGATATAGGATCGATTGTATGTGCTATAATATTCATCTTTTCTAAATTTTCCAAATGCTTAAGGCATTGAGAAGGGAAAAGTCTAGAACTGGATATGACTAAAGTGATTAAGCAATTTTCGAGGATAATCTGAGGTTTGCCAAAGATTGGTTACTCAGGGAAAGTTGGAAGTATGATGTAAGTTGTCGGAAAGGACCGTATTGACATGTTCTGAAAAGAAGTAACTCTTGTTCGGAAGTGATAGTCAAAATGGGACTATGGAAATGTCTCCATAGGTGGAAGTTATTCAATCTATGTAACATTAGAAAAACTTAATGCAAGAAGGATGTTCAAAGCAATGTACTTTGAATATGAAACTTCGTTTCTATAGAGTTGATCTCCTTTGGAATACTCTGTAATGACTGTTGACAAGTTTTGTGAATTTGTGCATAATCACTACAAGATAGGGATATCAAAAAGTCCCATGGGACCCCGTTCCCGTGGGGGCCCCGTCCCGTTTGGGGAATTTTTTTAAAAAAAATCGGGGGCGGGGACGGGGGCAGGGGCAAGGTTAACCCCCGTTTTAATTTCGGGGGCGGGGGCGGGGGTAGGCAATTCCGTCCCGAAATCCCCATGGGGACCCCGTTAATAAATTACACATATATTTATATATATTAATTATATAAATATAATAAACAATAACATGATTTTAAGCTTCCAAAATTCATCAAAAAACATGTTTTTAATTTGTTAGTATAATTTTTTTAAATGCCATAACTTTTTAATTTTTAACATATAAAATTCTACTATAAATAATTATTTGTTACCTAAAAAATAGCTTATTTTAGCCTAAATAACAACTTCTTTTAGCCCAAAAAAAATTAACACAAAATCAATCGGGGGCGGGGGAATGGGGGCGGGGATGGGGGTAATAAAGGGGATTCGAGGGTTGGGGCGGGGGTAGGAACGTTGAACATTCCGGGGGTGGGGGCGGGGGAGGGGGAATGGGGAAATATAGGGGGCGGGGGCGGGAGATGCACTCCCCGCCCCTTTGCCCCCGTTGACATCCCTACTACAAGAGGAACATTGCATAAAAGTTTAAAATCTAACAGTTTTTTTTGGTAAATGATAGGAATCGGGGATTCTCACATTTACAATAAGGATTTGGGATTGTGAAATGAGCATCATTGGAATCATGTTCAATTGATCTACATCACAATGTAAGGATCATAGACAAACATAGTGAGCATACTTGGAGTATGGCATAACTATTGTTTAGAAAAACAAAGTGTACATGCCAGGAGCATGGGACGACTGTTGTTTTTATTCAAGTCTTAAGTTGATTATTTGAAACATTGAATAATATGTAATCAATATGGTGATAAATAAAAAGTGGTTTTATTTATATTCAAAAGGGTTCTGAGACCATATTGGATTCGATTATTATTGTGTTTCACTTTGCATGTTTTGACTTCCAAAATAGCTAGGTTATTCTTTCCGAATGACTAAGTTATTTAAAACACTCCACAGTCGTTCATATGTTGGAAGTAGGTATGAATCAAGACTGTCATGAATCGGGTTTGTAGATGGCTAAATGGGTTTAGTCATAGCAATGGTTGCTACAACATTCATGAGTGCTCATAAGTTATGAGTATTGGAATAAACCCACGCTCACTTGTATCACTTCATGGAATTTATCTCGAGTGATCGTGAGACGGTAATATCATATAAATCTTTAAACCTAGAGATATGAGTTGTTACCTATGAGTTGGTTGTGCATTGATTGCACGTAAACGCATCAGTAACTTGATGTTATAAAACGTGCCTTTGTGTACAATTCAACAAGTAGTAGAACAAGTATATGAGTCGAAGTTTATCTGTTCCTTCTAGAAATAGAAGCGATATCTGGGCCCCTCGATGATTTTGTTGTGACCTATGTACCGGCCGGTCAGAACTAAATTGATGTGTTCTATTAAGTTCTTTGTCAAACAAATCGAAAATCGGGAAACAAACTGTTGGATAATAAGTACGACGTTGTTCCATGTATTTGTCTGGCTGATATCATGAGAACAGAGGATTATATGATCACTTATCTAAAATGGCGCTTCATAGTTCAACATAGTCTTCATAGTTCAACGGAGTTTTCGAGAGCTACAATTGCTGGTTGGTTCCTGAAGTAACATACGCAAATATAGTTATTAGACTTATCCAAGTGGGAGTCTGTTGGATAAGGTGTCTAAGTCCATAACTTATTTGGTATATACTTGACCCGACCCGACATGGTCCATTTGGGTTGCATCTCATCCAAACTATTTATGGATAATTTTATGAGAGTTATACACATATGTTTATTAATATATTATAAGTTATAATATATTAATATGAAGTCATGTTATTTAATTAGTCTTAGTCTTAAATTAATTATGAATTAATTTAGAGATTAAAAGGAAGACTAATTAGATTGTGGGCTATTGGTTTTATATGGTATGGGCTAACACTCATTTGTTAATGGGCTGGGCTTGTATGGAAGTCCATGGATGATCCATGGAGCTTTTAACCCATGGATCCTTGGAAAGGAAAAGACATGGGTTATTAGGGTTTCACCCTAACCATGCACACTATATAAGCATGCTTATGGAGCATGAAAGTGAGCCTAATGTAACTAGTGAACTAGTGTGTGTGAGCTTGTGTGTGGCCGAAATATACAAGTGTATATACTCTCTCAAATTTTTCCAAGAGTTTGTGGTGTTTTGTGATTCCATTTGAGGCATTCACACTATTGGTGCTTGGCCCTCAAACTCCTCAAGAACCAAACTCATCAAAAAGGTATGTAATTTCTTCTAACTCTTTATGTTGAAATGTTCCCCATGCTATGTTAGATAGGTTATAAACCTTGGAAAATTATTATTTTGCATGTATTTAGACAAACATAGATCCAAGGTTTATTAGGGTTGCATGCACACTTAGGAAGTGTTAGATTGCTCAAAACCCAACACTTTTATACCTAGCAACACTGTCCCGTCCCTACGAGATAGGATGCGCTTTAAGGGGACAAGGTCAGAGGCGCTGATTGTAGGATCATGCGCCTCTATCTGTTAGAGCGCTATCATTGACTCTGACGGTAATGGTATGATATTGTTCCTTGTCTCCTGACCATATCTTTTGTCTTAGCACTGGGATCATCCTTAGCGAGCACAAGCCTTTCATCGGGGCACCCTGCTCTTAGGGGCGCTGGCGGGCGCTAAGACCGCTGAGCTTGGCTCGGCTAGTGCACCAGACTCCTTGGCCAGACGTGAATCTTCCGTGCTAGCTTAGGAATGTCATCAAGTCCCCCAGTCCGGTAGTCGTAGCATTGTGATAGCTACAACGTTCTGTACTTGACTACTCTACATGTGTCATCTCCCAGTTTTCCCGCCATTCTAGTTTTAATGACGACGTGACTGCTCATGATGGCTAGTGGTTATGTCATCGTGTCAAACATTTTGAATATCCCGCCCTTCCTGTTTTCTTATAAGGGTGTTTATTATGCTTTCTCATTTACACTTCCTTTCCTTTGTTGTTGTTCTTCTTCAAGCCCGTTTTCCTCTCTTCTCTCTTATGGCGAGTCCCCCAAGAATTGAGAGCACCTATGGTCTCTCTCCCTTGGACGGTGTGGAGTTTTCATCACCTGGTTCTTCTATCATGTCCCCCCCCCCCCCCGAAAAAGTCGGGATTTATCAGAAAACCCTAAACGTTGGTCTTCGTCTTCCGACGACCGACTTCCAGGAAGAGGTCCTTCAAAAGGATGGTTGTAGCATTCAAATGCAGACTCCAAACGCTGTAAATAAGTTTATAGCGTTCGAGATGATCTATCGTGCCAACGGTTACCTCCCCGACTTTTTCATGTTCAAGTACTTCTTCCGATTTTGCTGTACCGATGATAAGTACACGTTTTATGTCTGGCGAGAAGATCACACTCTTGTTCCTGATGGGTGAACACCTAAGAATTGGCAAGATAAGTGGTTACGAGTGAACCAGTGTTTGGCCGGTAGCAGTCGCTACCTTGCTAATATCTTCGTCGATACTACTCCCAAGTTTTTTCCCCACAACCAGGGTGTTGCTGATTTCTTGAAGAATGTCCAGGTATCTCCCGAGGATTACTCTGAGGCCTTGTTGTCTGGTGTGGGAATGAGCCCTTCTTGGAGCCATCGTGGCAAGATGGCATTTCTCTTTTGCATTGTTGATGGTGAGTATATGTGTTTGCTTCTTCCTCGTTTGATTGGGTGTGCCTGTTGGCTAGGGCCTTAACCTCTTAGGGTTTTTGTGTTCTGATGCATCTCCTTATTTTTTATGTTTGCAGGTGTCGAATCCCCCTTATCCATGGATGAGGTCCTGTGGAAGCGTTACCGCAGGAAGTTAGAATGTCGGGAAGTGGACCTGGTCGATCGCCTTCCTCCGCCTCATCAGCTAGATCAACTTGCTTTGATCGCCGCTATGTCCACTCCTCCGGCGGCTGGGGAGGGTTCGTCGTCTGCTAAGGTGAACCCTCTGGTTGCGCGTCCTATTTCAGCCATCATGCCGTTTGGTGGTGCTCACCACTCTTCTGCTGAGAGCAACGAGGACAACAAGTATGATATCATTTCTAACATTCGGTGCATGCAAGCAAAGAGGGAAAGCTATATTGTCCATGGGGAAGACAGTCACCAATGTGCCTAATGTCGCCAAGCGGGTTCAGACGAGGCATAGTTTCTCTCGCCTTCTGAATTCCATCTCTTCAACACCGGTAGCCATTGTTGTGATCCCTGATGACGACACTCAATAGTCCGAAGGGGTCGGTGACGCATCTAAACAGCCCGTTGTTCCTATTCCTATTAATTCTTTTGTTCCTGTTATCTCTTCACCTTCAAAGGGTCCTAATGACCCAGGGCAAGCTTCCATTTGTTTGGCAGCGTAGCCCCACAAGTAAAGCTTCATATTCCGTCTCATTGTTCGAGGTGTGGAAGTCGAAAAGAAGAGCGTATGTAACCTTTTATCTCCCCGGGCTAGTCAAGATTAGGCCTACCCCAAATCCCTCTCTGCTGGATGCGCCATCGGTGTATAACGTCCATCTCCGATTGTTTTCTGGGATTTCTTTCACTGCCAGGATTCCTTCTTTGGTTATATCCCCCCGCCGGGGATTTCGAGCAGGAAGTTTGCCAACGCTTGCCCTTTGATGCTCGTCCTCAGGCGATAACTGATGTCATGCTCACCTAACTCAATTGCCCACTTTACAAGTTGTCCTGACATTTCTGGCTTGAGTACTATCTGTTTAATCGGGCAATTCATCAGGACTTTGATTTGGTGCGCTTGAAAATAATGTCTCAACCGTCGTGCAGCGTAAATGAGCACTAGCACTAGCTTCTCCAAAGCGGAGTAGTTGAGTTTCGGATCTTGTAATGCACGACTGACGAAATATACTAGCATCTTTCTCCCTCCCTTTCTACAACCAACACGGAGGATATGGCCTCGTTTAAGGTTAAGAGGTATATGTGACATCCCCATTTTCATGGCTTGAAAAGACCGATTTTGTTTATGATTTATAAAAACCAGAGTACCTCTTTTAATAAAAATGTTGCAGTAAAATGTTGCAGGATTTGTTCCTAGTAAAACATGATAAATACGTTATCAAGGCATTTCCGAAGAAAAGTATTGTTATTCATTTTAAAACCTTTGGGATGTCATCATCAATACATAAAGATAAGCATAAATAGAACTTACATTCATTATCACTAGTGATTTATATCTCCTTAATCTCTCAGTGTAATGTGACTTCATATCAACACCTGTGATATAAATAAACAGAGTTGGTCAATATGGGAAACTTGGTGAGTACATAGGGTTTTCAACCCACAATAATATAATTAATATGTTTAATCATCAAACAGTTGACCCAATTACCCATCCCCATTATCTTATTTACTCTTAAGGATCTACCCTAAGAATAAGTTATTTCTTGTTCATTCATTCCTAAGGATCATCCTAAGGAATCGACACGAAATCCATTGTTGCCAGGGTATTCTCAACGGACACTAAATCCATAGTTACCAAGGTTTGCAAAACAGACGATAACTCCATAGTCGTCAGGGTTTAATCAATAGACACTAACTCCATAGTCGTTGAGGTTTATCTCGTTTATTGACAGTATCGTTTTCGAGATTCAACTCTCAATACATGTAAATGGGTTTTTAGAGTACACCGGTGAACACATCGTTCACAACACCTACAGGTTTCGAGCCTACTAGTGTTCCACTGGACTGTCTAGAATAGTCCATGGTTGTCATCGATACTCTGCTAGATGATGGGGGCATCGCTTGGGTCATCGCTTTTTGGCTTATCGCTTCTCACCATATTTTACCACTTATATATCATCGCTCATCATTCATCTCATCTCTCATCGCTCATCATTTATCTCATCTTTAATCTACCCATGTTCTACCCAACACATTTTGTAGATATAAAATACGTATACATTTTAAATCATTTAAAACATATATAAAATCGTTCATCCAGCATAAACAATAAGTATTCAAGTAATATGCACACATAGAACCTAGTTTATATAAAATACTCCATATCTATGTGTAAGATGAAAGGGACCATGCACTCACTTGAAAAGGTGGTGACTCGACACTCGGACAGCACTTCGTTACTTAACACAATTTCCCTTTGACAAAACCTAGTATCATTACCACTAGAGTTTAGTCTAATATTCAACGAGACTAATTAATAGTCTAGCTATTATTACTATCGTATAAGCGTTAAACAATACTCTTCACCCATAATGTACATACAGGGGCCAGACATAAAACACCGGAGGGCAAGACGATTTTGGCATAAAGCACTTCTGAAATCCAACAACCCTATGCGGCCCTTTAAACCAGATTCCCCGTACCGCAAGTGGTTAAAAAGATATTATAATGACACTTATATAACTCATAATAATAGCCCAAATATTTATTATAAGGTCCTAATAACATGACTAAATTGAATCATAAGATATACTAAAGATAGGTTAGGCGTAGCTCACTTACAATAGGTTTTTCTCAAAACCGGGCTCCGTTGGAGTAGCGTTCCCGAGCAGAAAGACTCTTTTTCTCGGAGCCGTCGGGTACTCCGGGGCTTCCGCCTCATGCTAGGGAAGTTTCCTAGGCTTTTCGGGGGGTTTCAAGACTAGAGAGAAGTTCTAAAGAGAGGGGGAAGTGATAGGAGGTGTGAGGAATGAAGAGGGCTTCACCTCTTATTTATAGGGGCTGGAGGGTCACTCACAACGTGAGCTTTATGATGCTCACGTTGTGAGCCAACTGGAGACACCAGGCATAGCCTGGTGCTGACACATGGCATCGCACATAGGGTGGAAATCAACCAATTTTCAAAAATAAATAAATTTTGCATAAAAAATCATTTTTCGATGTTCTTTATATCAACGCGTAGCTAAAAACAAGATCTACAACTTTTATTTTACTCCATCGGCTAATTCTCAACCGATCTAAATTTAACAGTACGAGGAGATGATACTGTTAAATGTTCGCGTAAAATTCATAACTTCTACATACGAACTCCGTTTTCTTCTGTCTTTTTACCGTTGAGTTCCTGTTAATAAGATCTTCAAATCTTATTTAGGTCGTGTAGGCCAAAAACTGCTCGAACTAAAATTCGAGTTTCGGGTCATGCACTACTATACCAAATCTTAGAAAATTTATAACTTCCTCATACGAAGTCAGATTTGGGCATTTTTTTTTGTATGTTCTTGGTTTAACGTATACTATAAATTTTGTTTAGATTTATAAGTCTAAAAATTCCTCCATCATAAATTCACTATTTACGTTTCCCGGTGCCATGTCGATTTTGCTGAAAAACTTTGACGGGCCATAACTTATTCGTTATAACTTGGATTTTGGCATTCTTTTTATGTACGGAACCCTTGTAACATATAATACCACTTGGAAAAGATTAATACTTCTAAATAATCTTCCATCAAAAACTCATTTTTTGATGCTTATTGTCTCTAAATTGACTAGCTCGGATCTGCGGGCGTTACAGTATACCTGCAGCATTTCTCCCGGAATAGGGCTGGAAAACATAGGCAATTTGTGCAGGGCTTACTTGATCTTCTGTAGTGCTGACTCTACTGCCGCCATCCATTGGAAGTTGCTTTTCTCAATACAACCCTTTAGTGTGTGAAATAGCGGCATGGTCTTGTCTATTGATTTCGAGATGAATCTACTGAGGGCCGTGAGTTTCCCATTTAGACCCTACGCGTCTCTCAACGTGACTGGAGGTGGGGTCTCCATGAGTTCATTTAACTTGACTGGACTGGGCTGAATGCCTTGTCTGGTGACATAATATCCTAAGAATTGTCCTTCTTCCACCCCAAAGGTACATTTTCCTAGGTTCAGTTTCATCTTCACTTTCTCCAATGTTCTGAAAGTTTCTTCAATATCTCGTAACATTTTTGCCTCATCTGGGATTTTAATAACCATATCGTCAATATATACCTCGTTGTTTCTTCCGATTTGGTTGGAGAATATCGAGTCGACCAGGCATTGATATATTCCCCTTGCATTCTTTAATCCAAACAACATTTTGGTGTAACAAAAGGTGCCATGGTCGGTATAAAAAGCCGTTTTTTCCTTGTCTTCCTTGCTCATCATAATTTGGTGATAACCTTTGTACGCATCTAGAAAGCACTTTAGCTTGAAACCTTGTAGCGACTCTACCTTCAGGTCGGTTTTTAGTAGGGATAGCAATCCTTAGGGCACACCTTGTTTAGATCGGAGAAGTCGATGCACATGCGTCATGACCCATCATGCTTTCATACCATGACAGGGTTAGCAATCCAGGTTGGGAAAACCTCCTCTCTCAAGATTCCCGCCTTTGTTAGTTTGGCTACTTCTGCGTTGATTGTCGTGTTACGATCTCCCCCTGGAACTTCTTCTTCTTCTTGACTTCCTTTGTTC